TACAATCTCTTTGTATTTAAGGAATAAAAGGCCACTATACTTCCTAAAAAAACCACCGTATTATCTCAACGAGAATCATAAGTAAGTTAACAATATCAGTAAGCGAATCAGCATCGGTGTTTTCTTGCGACTTTCATTTCAAATCTGGACATTGTGAGAAGCCCATGTATAGTGTCCCCTGCCGTGATATTGCTGGAATATTGCTAAAAGCAACGTAAAACCATACTCACTCACTCAACATTGACAAACAGCTGTTTCTGGTTATCCTCTATAACTGCCCACGTCACTGCTACTTCCTTTCTTGTGAATCGGTATGATGATACCCATATACGTGTAAGGTTTTGGAGCAAAACAATCAAGAGGGATTTATCTTATTAAATAGTGTAGTTATAGGAGCCACAAGAATTTCATTGCCGCATTAAACAATGCGTTCATTATTCCACCAAATGCTATTGATTTAATATTTTGTAAGTTAGTTTCACATTCAAGTTCTTCATAGCACGGGTAGTTCTGTACTTTGATAGTGGCGAGTGTCTCTTCCACACCAGGATTCATAAATGATTCTGTAGAAATATTTTCAAAATAATTTGCAAAGTCAGATGCATATATATCCGTATAAATTAAATGGTGTTTTTGCGCTTAAAATGTTTCCAGAATTCTTTGGGCCTTGTGAACACAGCAGTTCCAATTTCTTTGTTTTAACGTCACAGTAAGCTCTTTTATTTCTTTTCACAAGTCTCTTAAATATTTTCTTGCCAGCTTGTATTTTCACTCTGTTGTAATTTGACATGCTATCTTTCAGGAATGCCTCTAATGAAGTAAGGCAAACACTGTTTAGCTTAACACAGTCTTTGGCGAATCGCTCAGGTGATTTTACGTACGCATCACTGAACTGTGTTTGTCAATCATATGCAATCCATTTAATTTCCGCTCGGTGTAGGGTTTAGCGGTGATGAGAAGAATATCACTTGTTTCTTGAATTCGGTCAAAGTAGTTTCACTACAACAGTCAATAATATGGTTAACATCTTCAAGGCGACACTGAGTCGTACCACTTGTGGGTGACCTGCACTTCACGTTGAATTGTCACGTGTCAAGAAGATAATGATATCAATGTCATTTACATACGAGTCCATAATTCTGTTACTCCAAACATTTTGATACGTGTGTCTCCCGGGTATATCACGTTCACACCTTCCATTTGGTAAACCGGTAGTACAAGATCTAACAGCCGTGTGCTGACCCTGCCATCTGTATTCTCCAGGGAGGTTCTTGGAAGACAGCTATCCCATCGTCATGTGTGTACCGGGAGTAATAATCATGTTCAACATAATTAGATTTACCGCCCACACAGGCATGACAATCACCAATACATATTACGCTGTTAAAAACTTTCTTCATACCAATACCATCATAGTACCATAAGATCAACATTATGAACACTGTACATAATAGAATTTTCTGGCCATATATACACAATGCACAACACCATACCCTTATCAAAAGGGAAAAAGGTCTTCTAAAGCTTAAGCCATAATAATGTTCAAATATAGTCAAAAACACCGTTATATCGAACTTTAATGTGTCGGCATTTCGGTTGCCTCGAAGTAAAATCATGGTCCTTGCGTATTCCTTCTTTATTCATCATTTTTGTCGTGTCGAACTTCGGATAACTCGAAGCATTTACGTAGGTTCGTTAAACTTCTACAAAACGGTTTTTGAATATAAATTGTCAATGTTAGGGAATAACCAGTCTAGATTATCCGCTGAAACACATAATAAATTTGGCGTAAAAGGCAAAAAAGGGTGAACATTATATGAATGGACCACTGAAAAGGGTGAGCATTCCCGGAAGCACACGCCATTCACACAACTTGCATAAAGAAGTTTATGTTGTTTTGTTTGTTTGTTGCTTAACGCCGCACCCACCAATATTCCAGCTATATGACGGCGGTCTGTAAATAATCGAGCCTGGACCAGACAATCCAGTGATTTACATCATGAACATCGATCCACGCAATTGGGATCGATGAAATGCATCAAACAAGTCAGCGAGCCTGACCACCCGATCCCGTTAGTCGCCTTATACGACAAGCATAGTCGCCTTTTACGGCAAGCATGGGTTGCTGAAGACCTATTTCTACGCCGGATCTTCGAGGGTCGCATAAAGAAGTAAGTATTTCCTGCCAGACGCCGCACAGCAGTAGTCCTGCCACTCGACGGCGGCTTGCAAAGAAACCAGACAATCAAGTGATCGATGAACCAGAAAATCTGTTGATTTTGGTATACCTTATAAACACGTCACATAATTTGAACCACTTCAGAGATAGGCTGTCGTGCATAGACAATTTATTTTTAGCAAGTCTATGCATATACTTCCTCCTTGCTGTTTATCTGTCCATGTCTCTGAGGGCTACAATATCGTAATTGTCTAAGATCTCACAGAAAATCACGTGACTGTTTCTTGGTCCACTTACAGTTTTCAGTCCACTTCCATCGAGTTCCTATGTCGGAGGTTTGTTGATTTTCGATGTAGGGACGGCTGTTTGCTAATCGACACCTCTTACCATCACTTCTAGCCGCCTTCATGACTACAATCAATTTTCTTTTTTGTTCATATATTTCTGGAGGAACCTGTTCATTTACATGCATGGTCGTTTAAAATATGACTATCTCAATGATCCTTGAAATTGACAACTATTGGTCGTGGCTATATGATGTCATAGCTTCACTCTGTGTACACGTCCGAAATTCATGTTGATACACATTCCTGAGACAAAAGCAATTTGTCCACCAGCAGTAATCGTACCACATCATCTGTGTTCTCTATAAGATAATAGACTTCTTCAAGACAACAAGCATACAGCGAAGCCACAATACTCTGATAACATGCTGGAGTTTCTGTTTGCCCCAGAAACAGGAAATACCTCACCCACGAAGAATCCGTGGACCAGTGAAAAACGCCTCTTCCAACAGGAGAGAAAGTCGGCCATTCAAATTGCAGATGGACTATGACTTGATTGTTTAATTTGTATGTGTATTCTCTATTTATAAGTGCTACTACAACCATGGACATATCCTAAGTACTATATACTATAAATAATGAAAATATATTATTGTTTCATCACAGTTTTATAAACTTAATAATGAAATATGTTGATGTTCGAACACATTTTTTTATAGTATTATTATTTGAGAAAAAATATATTGATATCTAAATTAATTCAAATATTGATACATAAAGAAACGTATGAAAAAAATTAATATTCAATGCTTTACCTATTTCAGTTTGGCTAGTTTCATCCAAGTACCCCTAACTTGAAAGAGGGTTACTCCCGCAGATCATAATCCTTTCATCCCATGTTATTCTAACCATCCAAATGTATAGAAATCGGAGTTGAACCGCTAGAAGGTTAACAGTCTACCGGTTACCCACTCACTCCTGGGTGAACACAGGCCTATTTCGACATGTGTTATGTCCTCGAGTGTGGGCCAGGACCGAGGTCCAAGCAAGACACTCGGGTGTCAAGGTGTCAAAAGTGGTCGCATCTACTCTAAGTTACCAATGTTTGTTTGTGACAGGTGCCACCTGTGGTGCAGGATAGCTCACCTTTTCGCGAACAAAGATAAATCAAAGACGATATTTATACCAATACAATGTTAACCATGAAGATCCGGGGTAAAATAGGTCTTTACAGTTTTTGGCATTGCTGCAAGTAATATTCCTTATGTGCCGAATGGCTTGTTTTCACATTCTAGTTAAAAGCGCACATGCAGCTATCTTCATCAATTAATCATTGGGATGTTTCGTGATTCTATTTCAAGTGGTGAGGATGATAAGTGATCACTGACTTGGATGATGCATGTCATTGTATCTCAAATGTGTAGACCGATGCTCTTGATGTCAATCATTGCATTGTCTGGTCAAAGCTCGATTATTTACATACCACCGTCACATAGCTGGAATATTTCCATGTGCGGCAATAAACAACAAACAAACAAACCTTCAACAGAGGAAGTCTAGGGTTACCTCATCCAAAAGAGATCATGAGATCATGGTTTGTGATTTTGTTTGTTGGTTAACACAGCAATATTAAAACAAGCGTATAGTTGACAAAGTCATCTATATCCCCCGCCCATTTTAACACGTTATGATCCCAAACCAGGTAAATGACCCAACATTTCTCTTAGCCCATGTCAAAATAGCTGCAATGGAAATTCTAAAATAAACATTTCTAAAACTCCTTAATATCAAATGGCACTAGTTCAGTATGTGCTTTATATACAGACATGCAATGTTTGGCAAGGAAATATTCAACAGTTTATTTGTTATACTCCTTAAGTAAACCAATCCTATATTAAAACTTTAATCCAACTTGTTGTCATGGAAACATAAACAATAAAAATTTCTAAAAGTGCTTTATATCAAAAGGGACCAGTTAAGTATGTGGTAGACATGCAAAGTTTTGTAAGAAAGTATTTAACGGTTTTTGAGTTACGCTCTGGAAACGAACACCAGCCCTGTAGAACCTAAGTCAAACTTGTTGCAATGGAAACGTAAAAAATAAAAATTTATTAAATTCCTAAATAGCAAAAGGCACCAGTTCAGTATGTGCCTAGTAGACATGCCAAGTTTTGTAAGAATGTATTTAACAGTTTTTGAGTTATGCTCCGGAAACGAACACCACCCTTATAGAACCTAAGTCCAACTTGTTGCCATGGAAACGTAACAAACAAAAATTTATAAAATTCCTAAATAGCAAAAGGCACCAGTACAGCATGAGTCTGATAGACATGCAAAGTTTCGTAGAGCAATATTTAACGGTTTCTGGGTTATGCTCCGGAAACGATTTCGGGACGCACACACACGCGCACGCACGCACACGGACGGAACCCATTTCTATATCCCCCGACAACTTCGTTGGGGCGGGGGATAATTATACAACTGCAGCCAGTAAATAATCTTGTCTGCATCAGAAAAAACTCTTATTAATAGTCTTTATTTTTTTAAGTCTCCAAGGGAACAATATTCCAGCTAAATGACTGCAGGCTGTTAATAATTGAGTCTAGGCCTGACAAACCAGTGAATAATAGTATCTTTTGTTTGTCTTTTTAATGTTCCACTCAGCAACATTCCAACTGCAGCCAGGAAGTAAAGTAAAGTAAACCAGTGGTTGATATTGTGAACAAAGATCCAGTCCATCTGGGTAGGCTGACAAATCGCCCAGACTGATTACCCATCCATTGAGTTAGCTCATCATTCATTGGTGGAGAAGAGAAAGAATAGGGTCAGTGTCTGGGATTTAGGATTAAGATCCTAAACATTTATTTTAAAGCATCTTGCAACAATTTTAAATTTGTGACAGACATTTTACTTATTTTAAATGTCTGAAGCATCATTATTTTTTTCAAGCATTCTCTCATCTTCCCAAGGCAAGGGAATTTGAATTTAGAGACTAACTGAAGCAGTTTCAGACATGTTTCAGTCTGATGAAGTCCTTTACTTTTTGGGGAATTTGCAATGAACCAACACAGGAAATGTTACGTCCTAGAAGCTGCCGCACTCTAAAACAACAAATGTCCTGTAGGCTCCTTGGTATGGAGATAGTTTGTCTCACAAAATTCATAAATGTTGGGTGCGACAATCTTCGAATGTCAAACATCTCCTCTAAACAGTCATAATCTCTGCGAGTAAATTGGCAACCTGCTTTTATCAGTAGTGTTATAATGTCAGAAGGCATTGACTTGAACCAGTATTCACTGAGTACTATCCTGACATTCAGATCCACAGCGAGGTAGCGAACAACATCCAGGGAATGAAGACTAAATGTATCGGCCGGTACAGCGTCTGCATCATAGCCGTAAGAGTGTAGTAACTTCATCATTTCTAAACTGCCCATCAATAGTGCTTGTGCAAAAAAACCATCCTGCTGCTTGTCTGTGTCCTCTCTTACATCAGCTTCACAATCCAGCAATACATGTGCCGCCTCAATGTGGTTTGTTCTAATGGTTTGAAGTAATTCATTGCATAGGTAAGACTTCCTCTCCTTTGTGTTACCAACTCTGGAAATAAGATATCTGCATATGTCCTGATGTTCTCCCATGGCAGCAAGCATTAGTGGAGAGTGGTCGCCGGGGAACTCAATGGCTTTGTGGCGAGAGTCTACATACTCAAAGAGGAACTCCACAACATTCAGTCTGCCGCCATGCACAGCAAACCAGAGTGGAACTCGGGGGAATGGATAAAGACTTAGACACTCATCAATTTCAAACTGCTCAAGGTTCAAAACCTGAGCATCGACGCCATATTCCATGACTAGTGCCCTTACAATATCCACATGGCCGTAATAAGCTGCGCAATGTATTGAAGAATATACATCCACACGCCTTCCAATATTAAACCTGCGTGAATCGTTCCAAGCAAAGCCCATTGATATCAGAAGATGCATGACATCAACTTGACCATATCTTGCTGCTGTGAACACTGGGGGAATGTCTTTTACACATTCTTGACTGGGATTAATTTGTGAGGTCTGAATGAACTTTTGAACAGCAACGACATCACCAGCTTTTATGAGATACTTCAGGTTCACAATGTTTAGATACTGGACACTGATTTCAGGATCATCGTTCCTGGATGCCATCAGTGTTGGGTCTTTTTTTGTGTGTTTTTCTCTATATTTGTGTTTGGTTATGTTGGTGAAGAATATATAATTCCACAACTACTTGTCCTTTTCTCAAAATTTCCGGGATGTGTAACTTTTTCATGTCCACAAGGTTGGAGCTAGCTGGATGGACGGTGTTTGGACAGCCTGAAAATATCAATGAAAAACATAAAACAAGAAAACTTATTTCCACGCATGTTAAACGTCAGATTTCTTTTCCATGAATTAATTATTCATGTATTTTGAAAAACGCTAATTCAACTAGCAAAGTGTACTAGCAAAAACAAATGCAGTTCTCCCTCCTCCTTTCTAGTTGGTCCCAGAAATTATTGCATACCACCATGCTTTTCCAGTACGATACCATTACCTTTGGTTTGGTTCAGTGAAAGTTATCTTCCCAAGGCAAGGGAGTTAACTGACTTGTAAAGCCCAGTTTTCATCATTGCCGAACTAGGCTAGAACATCTGGGCTTGATCGTAGCGCCACCAGAGGTTATTACGAGTTATGCCCCTTCTATGTCCCTCCTATTGACCAATCAGATTCCACCTCTCATATCACCTACATTTGCTTCAAACAAATTGGTGGTGTCCAATCCAGATTATCTGATCCATAACCAAGACCTATATTATAACAAAATGGGTCTTACTTCGCAAAGTCCATCAAATCACTGCAATCGACCGAAATCTGCACGGTATTTTACGAACCGGATGTCAATTTTGTTTTGACTATGAAGCCAGTCCAGCTAATACATAACTCCATAATTCCAGCCTAGTTTGGCAAGGGTGTAAATTGGAATTTTATAGTCAGTCAACTACAACCTGTTGCCAGACTCAAGTACCTTGCTGACCCGTGAAGATCTGGGATAGAATAGGTCTTCAGCAACCCATGCTTGCTGTTAAAGTTGACTGTGCTTGTCGTAAGAGGCGATTAATGGGATCGGGTGGTCAGGCTCGCTGACTTGGTTAATAAATGTCATCATATCCCAATCCCATAGATTGATGCTCATGAAAACAATAACTGGATTGTCTGGTCCATACTTGATTATTTACAGACCGCGGTCATATAGCTGGAATATTGCTGAGTGCGGTTTTAAACAACAAACAAACTAACAAACAAACAAACCAAGAACCTTGCCTCCAGATAACATGAGGAACCTGAAGACATCCCTATTAAAGTAACTAAATGACATGTCTAATGCAAGGCAACTCTAAAACAGTAAATGCCTACAGTTACCTTAACAATAACTTTACATGCACTTTTGATTTAATGACCTTACTACCAGATGGGGAAAGGAAAGCCTCAGTGGTCCAGTGGATAGAGTGTCTGCCCGGACAGTGCCAGTTCAGGGGTTTGATCCCTACCAAAAGACGTTAAAAGATGGTGTCATCACCAGATGCCAATTATCATCAGAGACTCGTCAAACTAACAAGAACAACGTTGAACACAAGTCAAACCAGTTAGAATTACAGTCCATAATAAGCAAATTTTGAAACACGAAGAAAAAGCCATCCATATTTCAATACTTTCAAAATGGAGTGTTGCTTCATTTAGTTAACATAGATCACAATACTTTTAACTTACTTAATACTAGGCTGCCAAAGTGCAAAGTAGGGGGTAGGGGATGGGGTATGCAAGGTAGGGGGTAGGGGGTGTGCAAAGCAGGGGCTGGCGGATAGGGGGTTGGGTATGCAAGGTAGGGGGTAGGGGGTAGGGGGTAGGGGGTGGGGTATGAGAGGTAGGGGGTAGGGTGTTCTGGATAGGGGATGGGGTGTGCAAGGTAGGGGTGGGGTGTGCAAGGCAGAGGGTTGGGGTGTGCAAGGCAGAGGGTGGGGGTATGCAAGGTAGGGGGTGGGGTATGAAAGGTAGGGGGGATAGGGTGTGCTGGGTAGGGGGTGGGGTGTGCAAGGTAGGGGGTAGGGGTTGGGGTGTGCAGGGTAGCGTGTAGGGGGTGGGGGGTGCAAGGCAGGGGATGGGGGTATGCAAGGTAGGGGGTGGGGTGTGCAAGGCAGGGGCCGGGGGTATGCAAGGTAGGGGGTGGGGTATGGAAGGTAGGGGGATAGGGTGTGCCGGGTAGGGGTAGGGGTGTGCAAGATAGGGGGTGGGGTGTGCAAGGTAGGGGGTGGGGTGTGAGGGTAGGGTGTAGGGGGTGGGGAGGTGCAAGTCAGGGGGTGGGGGAATGCAAGGTAGGGGGTTGGGTGTGCAAGGCAGGGGGTGGGGGTATGCAAGGTAGGGGGTTGGGTGTGCAAGGCAGGGGGTGGGGGTATGCAAGGTAGGGGGTGGGGTATGAAAGGTAGGGGCATAGGGTGTGCTGGGTAGGGGGTGGGGTGTGCAAGGTAGGGGGTGGGGTGTGCAAGGTAGGGGATAGGGGGTGGGGTGTGCAAGGCGGGGGTGGTGGTATGCAAGGTAGGGGGTGGGGTGTGCAAGGCAGGGGGTAGGGGTTGGGTATGCAAGGAAGGGGGTAGGGGGTGGGGTGTGCAAGGTAAGGGGTAAGGTGTAGGGGGTAGGGGGTGTGTTGCAAAGTAGGGGGTAGAGGTTGGGGTATGCAAGGCAGGGGGTTGGGGATAGGTGGTTGGGTATGCAAGGTAGGGGGTAGGGGGTGGGGTTTGAGAGGTAAGGGGTAGGGTGTGCTGGGTAGGGGGTGGGGTGTGCAAGGTAGGGGGTAGGGGGTGGGGTGTGCAAGGAAGGGGGTAGGGGGTGGGGTGTGCAAGGTAGGGTGTAGGGGTCTGGGGTGTGCAGGGTAGGGTGATGTTGGTGGTAGGGTTCACTCATACTTTTATTCTTACGCAGTTTCCAAAGTTACTACAGTGAACACGGTGAATAGCAATATATTAATTAGGGTGACTATTGGGGCTATTTTCACTTTTGCGTACTCCACACTACTGCAAGGGTATTGCTACAGTTGTCAACTATTAAACCAACCTTACGGGTCATGTCATCCTGATGTGTCAGCTTGATGGGGAGGAAAGCCTGATTGATGCAGGGCTTACATGTTCACACAAGGAGGGTTCAAGTCTTTTGCATTGGCTGCTGTTACTATTTTTAGAAAGAAGCCTAGGATGTACACTGTGAACTCAACCCTTGGAAACGTGTTTTCAGACTCATATACCAAGATATTTACAAAGGGTTTGGCTGTATTCAAACGTTGCCCAAATACCTTGTATATATACAATACAACAATATAGTCAAGCCTCGTTAATCCGACAATTGGCTTTTTCACTAATCTGGACACTAATGAGGGGAACCGATTACATCAGTGCTATTTAGACCCTTTAATCTGACAGTCTTGTACTCCCAATCTGACACACCAAATTTGTAACGAATTACCGAAATCACTCATTATTCAGTCTCGTTAATCAGACACAGTGATCAGCGTACTCCGTGGTCATCCGCCCCGCGAGTTCACAGCCCGTGTTTTGATGCGAGACGAGTCGGCTGGTAGCTGCATATTACAACGGCTGCAGAGCTAAACTTCCTTAACAATAAACAATTAATGCTTCAGCCTTAGAAACTAACAGTTTTCGTCCACTAGTCCTTATAATGATAACATATAGCAAAACCCTTATAAATGGCAATTTTCTATTAGTCCTGGGCAGTTTGGCAAGGACTATAGGACTAGTGCCAATTTCTAACCCTGTGCTTTAAATAAAGAAAACAGGATAAATCACATACTTAGATTACCTCAATCTCATTAAAATCCGATACAAGTCCTCGCTATCAACGAGGACGTTCCATTACAATGTAACAACAATATGAATATTTATTTTATATTTTTTTATTATGTGTTTGAATCTTTATCTATTGTGTAGTTGTCTGATTTTCAATCACAAACGTTGATACTACTTAATTTTGTTTATCGGACATACTCGTTAATCTGACATAATTGTATCCAACCCTCAATGTCAGATTATCGGGACTTGACTGTAATTGGTAATGTGCACTCTGACAGTGCTTGTAACAGCAAAGTCTGCTCCAGAGGAGGTCCGGATCCCAGACCCTTTTTGAAAACCAAATGTTGTATGTTTACACACAGGACCATGTCACAATAAAAATAAAAAAAGGCGCAAAAAAATCATATGATTTATGATTTTTTTGCGACTTTTTTATTTTATTGTGACATGGTCCTGTGGTTTACAGGAAGAGAATTTATTGATGTCAACTTCTTTATTATGAGGAACACAAAGTTTCGGAGTATATGCTTACTCCTTCATCAGGTGAATTCATCAAGTCATTCACCTGATGAAGGAGTAAGCATATACTCCGAAACGTTGTGTTCCTCATAATAAAGAAGTTGACATCCATAAATTCTCTTCCTCATGTGTATCACTTCTAAATGTTTTCAAAGACAGTATCAGTTGTAGGCAGTAAACTTGACAGAGAGGATTTTGATATTTTTGACCCCTCCCTTTCTAAATGATGGATCCGCCCTTGTCTGCATTTGACTTCTGTAGAACGATAGGTAAGCATAAGCATAAGCAACTATAGTAGATGTGAGGTAGTTGCACTTCAGACAGTTCAGTTGGGCCCCTGCAGTAGATCGACATTGCTACGATTTCGCATAGATAGCACTTGGCCTAGTGTCTTGTCACTTGTGTTCATAGACTTATTCAACAGTGACTGGTACGCAACATGTGACGTGGAAATAGAAAACGTGACAGAATATGATCCACCAGTCAATACACCTATCTGTCTCACCAATCATTTACCATTTTCACGTGGAAGAATGTCTGCCTGCTTCTCCATTGACAACTCATCAGCCGACAACCATCAGGGGAAGTAACTCTGACCTTGTTGATTTCACGACACGTGCACGTTATTGGTCATAAACTCGCTTGCTTCGCCGACACAGCATTCAGGGTTCGTATCTGAGAATATATAACATATGAGAAAACTTTTTCGCGTGGAGACATTAGGGCTTTTGGCACCGCCCCTTACTTTATAGAGATTATATTATTTGATTAGATAATGGTTTAGAATTGGCACTCGTCGCGAACGGCTGCAGGCTAAAACGGCACTTCAGCAAAACGTCACCGATTTCTCGGGCAAGAACGGCACCTCATTTGGCGAAAACGGCTACAAATGTTCGGGCGAAAGATGCATCTCTACTTTTAAAAACGATAAGCACGATACATGTAGGATATGCTAAACATACATGCTTTATTATGTAATGTTGTAGTATAAATATTTTCCTTGGGCGCGGAAACGGTCTGTTATCCGCAGAAACATTCTTGTGATGTCGGCTGCCGACAGAAATGGGAGATATATGAAATAACTTTAAAATTACTTTTTATTTCCTACTTACAAAAACATATCTGTTTTCATTGGTAACGTATCTGTTTTCATTGATACCTTATCTGTTTTCGTTGTTAACGTAAATGTTTTCATTGGTAACGTACGTATCTGTTTTCATTGGTAACGTATCTGTATCATTGGTAACGTATCTGTTTTCATTGGTAACATATCTGTTTTCATTGGTAACGTATCTGTTTTCGTTGTTAACGTATATGTTTTCGTTGTTAACGCTTCTGTTTTCCATGGGTAACATATCTGTTTTCAATGTTAACGTATCTGTTTTCGTTGTTAACGCATCTGTTTTCATTGGTAACGTATCTGTTTTCCTCGATACCCTATCTGTTTTCCATGGTAACGTATCTGTTTTCATTGGTAACGTATCTGTTGTCACTGGTAACGTATCTGTTTTCATTGGTAACGTATCTCTTTTCAATGTTAACGTATCTGTTTTCGTTGTTAACGCTTCTGTTTTCATTGGTAACGTATCTGTTTTCCTTGATACCGTATCTGTTTTCCATGGTAACGTATCTGTTTTCATTGGTAACGTATCTGTTGTCACTGGTAACGTATCTGTTTTCATTGGTAACGTATCTGTTTTCAATGTTAACGTATCTGTTTTCGTTGTTAACGCTTCTGTTTTCATTGGTAACGTATCTGTTTTCCTTGATACCGTATCTGTTTTCCATGGTAACGTATCTGTTTTCATTGGTAACGTATCTGTTGTCACTGGTAACGTATCTGTTTTCGTTGGTAACGCTTCTGTTTTCATTGGTAACGTATCTGTTTTCCTTGATACCGTATCTGTTTTCATTGGTAAAGTATCTGTTTTCATTGTCAACGTATATGTTTTCTTTGTTAACGTATATTTTTTTGTTGTAAACGCATCTGTTTTCATTGGTAACGTATCTGTTTTCCTTGATACCGTATCTGTTTTCGTTGTTAACGTATCTGTTGTCACTGGTAACGTATCTGTTTTCATTGTCAACGTATATGTTTTCGTTGTTAACGTATATGTTTTCGTTGTAAACGCATCTGTTTTCATTGGTAACGTATCTGTTTTCATTGATACCGTATCTGTTTTCGTTGTTAACATATCTGTTTTCGTTGTTAACGCATCTGTTTTCATTGTTAACATATCTGTGTTTATTGGTAACGTATCTGTTTTCATTGGTAACATATCTGTTTTCATTGGTAACGTATTTGTTTTCATTGGTAACATATCTATTTTCATTGGTAACATATCTGTGTTTATTGGTAACGTATCTGTTTTCATTGGTAACATATCTGTTTTCATTGGTAACGTATCTGTTTTCGTTGGTAACGTATCTCTTTCCTTTGGTAACGTATATGTTTTCGTTGGTGACGTATCTGTTTTCTTCTGACATTTTTGTTGCCTCCCACTCTAACGTCACAGGTATAGTCTGGAAGGTAATTTAAGGTACCGACGTTTACTACAATATCTGAAAAACTATCGGACCAAGTCCAGTCAAAGTTGGTATGAGATTATTAAACAGTCATACATAACTGGATATTACATTTAAAGCCAGTCGGTGCATGAATAAAAAAATCTGTCTATTTAGCTATCACTATATTTCATCAACAACCAGACCTGTTCGTCACGGATGGAGCGAGCATTCATTGAAACAGCCATCTGCATAATGCTACCCCTGCGTCACAGGGCCATATGACAGAGTTGAACCAATCAACTCAACTCAAAAGGGTGCACGGGAATCACGCACGCACGAATACTAAAATATTTGTGTCACAGGAACTTTTGTTGTTGAGTGTATATTACCTACATTCGTCATTACAACAACATAATTTAAAACTAAAAACCGGCCATTGAAAACACCCGCCTTCCTGGGATCGATCTTGGGACATGGGCTATAAATAGATCCACCTTCCTCGCGGCCTCCCCACGAAGAAAATGTTATTTGGGACACACGTTTGCGCTTGCGGTTGTTCACGAAGACGGTAGCGTGTCTTGACAGGAAGCATGGCAGGTGAGTGTCATCAGCTGTCTTATCATATTTCACTCATCATAAAAAAGCTTGAATATTATAGCCAATTTACACAATCATAAATTATACATGTAGTTTGTTGGTAAAATTGCACTTGGGTGCCTAGAAATAGGTAAAAATCAGGATTAGGTTATTCCTTGCTGCGATTAATGTATAAAACGAGTTGAATGTATTGAGAATCCTTGAATAGCTCTGCGTCCTAATTATCAAGTAACAAACTTCGTTTTCATGTCCGTATTTCAGATAAAATTGATAAAACGCAGGAAAAGTTATATCCGGGGATTACAGAAAATGATGACGATGTAGCTATTTTTAGACTGGGATTTTCCACTGCGCGAACGTTATTGCGCTCATATGCTCCTTGTAATCGTTTGAACACAAACAACCAAAATCGCTGTCAAAGTTGATTAAATAATGAAAATTATTTCCACTTGATCATGTAACAGTCATCAATTCCGTCAAAGAATCCCTCAGGAATGATGTTTGGTTTTACATATGTCTTGCATTTAAACATATACCCAAGGTACATTTAAATGTGTTCAACGATACTGTATAATAATGTAAGTCCCGATGTGTCTTCAATAGCATCTGAAATATATATGATACATGGGGGTGATAAAACGTGAATGATTAGGTTGACTATTCTTTTAGATATGCCCTTTTGCGCTTAGACGGAACCCAGTTGCAAAGATGGCCACGAGAGGGGCACGGGTGGCTATTCGGCTTGTCCCGGAATAAACGAGTTGGTCACGAATGGTGCCTTCATATCGGCTCGTTTCAATACGTATGGGGGCGACACCACAGCGAAATTTACTTAATGCACTCCTGAAGTTTTTGGGCATGTTAAATTGAGTATAAGGTTCCATGCAGTAATTCTGTTTGGAAAGTCGATAAGTTCTCAATTTTCTATCATTTTGATTTTTGTCGAAGGTTGTCTCTCCATGCTTCCAATGTTTTCAGTTCATATGCATTAATAACACTATCGATCACATTCTTGGATATAAAAGTTTCAACGTTGTAGGAATTACTCGACCCTTGGTTTTGAAAGAACTTGTAAATCCTGTAGTTCCATATCTTAAATCTTGATATTCTCTGAATTGTCTTGTAAGATGAATATTCGTCTGTTCTATCTATCCACAATCATGTTCACCAATCTTCTCCACTGACGTAACACGGCTTTCCACAGGTCGACACACATTGGAGTCCATCCCATCTCCCCCTGTACTGCATCATTAGGAGTATATGTTCCGACTCCAAGAAAATGTCTTCGCGCTCTGTTTTGAATCTTTGTAATTGTAGAAAATTCTCGAGTTCCCCCAAACCGATGCACCATACGCAATCACAGGTAGCACAATTGCATCATATAGTTTGGTATACGCATCATTGGGGAGACCACTCAGTGCTTTACTCTTAGCAATGATAAGACCTCTCTTCTCTGACTGTGAAACTGTTTTTGCCGTTGTGTTAAAATCCAGGAATTCATCAATTAAAAGTCCGAGATAGTTGTGTGATCAAACTGTCCTTAGTGGGACGTAGTAAAACAAGACAATTCGTTCTGCTGCACGATGGGTTACGAAAATGTACAATACCAGTCTTTTCTCTGTTAACACACATCTTGTTATCGACACACCACTTGTGAACATGACTTAGCATTATTTGGAGGTCCGTTTTATTCTCCGCGAGTAATACAAGGTGATGGCTGACTGGTGTCTCCTGATATCAATGGCTTCTTGTAGTATCCTATGACGTGCCTGTTGTTGCTGTTGTTGGTGGACAGGACTTTGGCTGCTTCCCACTTGATGCATCCAGAACCAAGATCATGCCTTCATATCATTGGTTCAACCATGAACCGTGAACAGAGAAACATATCTTCCTAATGCTTATGTTATGCAGCTATCTGATATAACTAGGTAATGTTTTGTTTGTTTATTTGTTGTTTAACGCCACACCGAGTCTGGACAAGACAATCCAGTGATTGACACCATGTGCTTTGATCCACGCAATTGGGATACTATGACATGCATCTGAGTCTCTGAGAAAATGGCATCACAAGTCAGTATCTCGTGTGTCCGCCATGTGCATTGATGACTGCCGTGCAACGTCGAAACATGGAATGGATGAGGCGGTTGATGAAGGCCATAGGCAACTTGAGTACACACTCTGAGGAACGCCTGACGCAGTTCAGCTGCAGTTGTCGGCCTTGGTCGGACGTCATTTAGCCGTCTTTAAATGTCGTCCCACAGGTGCTCAATGGGAGTTACATCGGGACTGAGGGCAGGCCACCGCATGGTTCTGATGCCATTCTGCTGGAGGAAGTCTCTTGTTGCTCTCGCAGTCTGTGCAAGGGCGTTATCATACTGAAACTCGAGGTTGCGGCGACGTGCCAAATGAGGTATGGCGTGTGGTCTCAAGACTTGATCAATGTACCGAGCTGCTGTGAGACCATTGCCTCTTCCTGCACCGATGTTCTGGTAGACCACAGGACCCACCCTCTGTGCAAGACTAATTCCACCCCACACCAAGATGCTCGGACCATACCACGAGTCTCTCTCAACAACACAAGCATCCGAATAACGTTCCCCACGGCGTCGCCAGACTCTCTCTCTCTCTCTCTCTCTCTCTCTCTCTCTCTCTGCCATCTGCTGTTGAGATGCAGTGACGGCTCTCTTTATGTAATACAACTAACTGATAGAACTAGGCTATGTAATACAACCATCTGATATGACTTTGTTATGTAATACAACTACATGATAGAACTAGGCTATGTAATACAACCATCTGATATGACTTTGTTATGTAATACAACTATATGATAGAACTAGGTAATGTAATACAACTATGTGATGTCACTAAACTACCGGGCAAAAGAAAGTTTTCACTTTAAAAATAGTTGTATAAAAAGCAAAAAAAGCTGGTACGGGTTTGAACCCCCGCTGAAAACATTCGCCCAAATGCGACATGACCACAACCACAACGCAGATTTTCGAACGCAGCTTTCCAAATCATGCATTGTTGAAAACGTGCAAAACGTGATTTTGAGACATTGGTCCAAATGCACGTGCGTGATTGTGGCATAAATACCGACGTTGGACAGAGCAGGCATTCAGTCAGCATAAAACCACCAAGAATATGCCCAGACTTACACAAGCGCAACGAGACAGAGCGATCGGTATGGCCAATATGGGGGCTACTCAACGTCAGATAGCCAGAACCTTCAACTGCTCCCAGACCACCATCAGCAAGTTGATAATCCGCTTCCAACAGACAGGACAGACCGGCCAAGATCGGGAAGACCGAGAGTGACAACACCGGCCGAAGACCGCTACATCCGGCAGATTCACCTCCGAAACAGATGTGTGACGGCGACGTCAACGGCGACAGCAGCACTAGGGCATGCCATCAGCAGACGAACAGTCCTTCGATGACTTCGTACGGCTGGTATACGAGCCTACCGACCCTTCCGTGGAATGGCCTTGACCCGTCTACACCGTCAACGCAGACTGCAATGGGCACGAACTGTACGTCAGTGGCAGCGACGTGACTGGGCGAGAGTCGGTTCTGTCTGTTCAGGAACGATGGCAGAGTTCGAGTTTTTCGACGAAGGGGAGAGCGACTGGCGCCAAACTGCATTAGAGAAGTTCACCCGTTTGGAGGTGGAGGCTTCATGGTATGGGGTGGCATTTTTTTATTTTGGCATTTTTTAATTTTGCAACAAGACAACGCAAGGCCTCACACCACCCGAATTGTTCCAGACTACCTGAACAACGTTAACGTCAACGTATTGCCCTGGCCACCTTGTTCTCCAGACATGAACCCCATTTAACATCTCCGGGATCATCTCATCGTCAGGATATGGCTGTAATATTGCCGATGTGACGTTAAATTGTAACTTACATACTCACTCCGGGATCATCTTGGTCGTCAGCTGAGACAACATGTACCGCCTCCAGCGAACCGACAGGAACTTGAACAGACTCTATTGAACTTATGGAACAGGATTCCTGTTGACGTTATCCGCCGACTGACAACGCCAATGAGCAGGCGTGTGTTGGCGTGCATGGATGCCCAGGGTGGTCACACTCGCTATTGATGACATGTTACCTGACTACTGTGTCATTAATGGACTCTTCATGCACTTATTCAATGAACTCTGATTTGTGTAATTTTTAATTTGGGCCCCTTGACTCTTTCTTTGTGTATTGCGGAGAATGCAATATCGGCATTACAATGCATTTTCATTCTAATTCATGGAAAATTATTTCTGTTTATAAATTCATCATCATAAATCTCACATATGCCTTTGTTTTTGGTGTTTGGTCAAGTGAAGTCGGTGAAAACTTTCTATTGCCCAGTAGTTATGTAATACAACTATCTGCTATGACTATGTTTTGTAATACAACTGTCTGATAGAACTATGTTATGTAAAACAACTAGCTGATAGAACTATACTATGTAATACAACTATCCGATTTATCTTTATGTAATACAACAATCTGATATAACTATGTTATTTCATGCCACTATCTGACATGACTAGTTTATGTAATACAACTGTCTGTTATAACGTCTTTATGTAATACAACTATCTGATATAACTATGTTATGTAATACAAATATCTGAAAGAACTATGCTGTGAAATCCAACGATCTGATAGAACTATCTGATATATCCTTTTTATGTAATACAACTATCTGATATATTTGTGTTATGTATATTACAACTATCCGATATATCTTTGTTATGTAATACAACCTTTTTGATATAACTATGTTATTTCATGCAACTATCTAACATGACTAGGTTATGAAATACAACTATCTGTTATAACTTCTTTATGTTATACAACGATCTGATATAACTTTGTTATGTAATACAACTATCCGATTTATCTTTGTTATGTAATACAACGATCTGGTAAAACTAGGTTATGAAATACAACTATCTGATATAACCTTGTTATGTAACACAACTATTTCTTTTAATCTGTAAGTTTAACATGCGGTGATCTACATAATGACAAAGGTATATTTGTAAACAAATAACGTGTAAAGCGAGAGATTATGTTGTGCGCCACTTTTAACAATATTTCAGTAATACCACCGCCCCGATGTTAATTGTCAAGAAAGAAGATATAGGATTAGGTTGGAAGCAAGGCATTACATTTAGGGTATGACGAACATCTGTTAAAACAAAATTGATTTCGAGTGCCAACGAAACTTGAAGTAAATAATGATCACAATGTAAATATATTTTTGACATTAACAATTATTATTTTCTTAGATTAGTATTTGTTATTCACATTCATGTATTTAACTGGTTATACGGTGGTTCTAGACGAAATACGACACGGACTAGAGAACGTCCATCTCCCTGAATCCCCTGGTCCTCGCCAAGTCTCCGCCGTCACTCCCTATCAGAGCTTAGAGGAGTCTCCCGCACCCCTAGCTACGCCAGACCAGGGTCTACCTGGTGCACACCGAAGTCTTGACGAATTGAGGGATGCAGGCAACACCACTCTACGACCAGGCGTCTTCCATTACGATCGTAACAGGCGTTCCCCGGTCTCCATGGCATCTTCGACACGTGACCCTGATAACACCATGCCCAAAACCGGTTAAATGACACTTTTGATAATTAAGTGTATTCAACTCTATTGTTTGAATGATGTTGCATTAAAGTTTTTAAAGTTGAAGACACCAAAATAGAGCAATACAATAAAGTTGTTTGATCAATGCTACAATAGGCCTCTGTAAGGTTTTCAAAAGTTTTTGTGGTATACAACAAATCTTCCGTATCAAGGGTATTATTTAGCCTATGTGGATATGTGTGATTTGAGCATGGCTGCAGCAGCGTCTTTGGGATGCCAGACACAACACCTTAACGTTGGAAGTTCTTCGGTCAGAAAGACTGCCAGCGTCTTTTATTGTGCGATAACTTCCAAATGGTTTTCAATGGTTTTCTATAAAGTAGACTGCATTTAAGGCTAATTTGTTGGATGGTATATTTTTTTTAATAACCTAACTTTTATGCAAAGGATGGAGTGACTTTCAGACTTGAAATGCTTGCAGACACAATTGCAAACATTTCGGTTAATGCTCGATCTCCGCTGGCTAATTCGTGTCAATACTTTCTCTTGTGCCGATTATCCAATCCACAGGGGACAGGACACTTTTTTAGTTTGATTTGACAGTCATTTGTGCAGTATGCTTCAGCTGCAAACTTAGATTTGAAGTCAGGTATCAAAATAGGATATGCGTTTTGTATTTTGTTGTGTGCCACATGAGTGGGCGAGTAAGCATAGGCAGGGGCCACCCCTTTTCAAAGTTTGTCTGTTTATTTCTCGTTTAACGCCACACTCAGCAATATTCCAGCTGAACACCTTGGTTCGAAGGACATTATTTAATAATGTTAGCAAATGAATTTTGCTTTGGAATTAGAAGATGCCTTCACATTACCCAAATAGACAGTTTATATATGTCCTGTATGTCTCTTTCAGAGTTGCAGATCAAGACCTTCATGATGAATAGCCCGGATGACGACGACATTGTTCCTGAATTCATACAGTCCGTGTCCGATCACAGTCACGACAGCATCCACGTTCAGCCTGCGTTTGGAGAGCTGGCTCCGACACGGCGAATACGGTCTGGTATCCCGGAGTACATCCTGGACTCGATGACAACGGTAGGACGTTACAGAGTTTGGTGTTTCATCTTAACATAAATTGTCAATGAAAGAGAATAACCAGCCTAGATTTCTGCCGAAACAGATTCCACTTGATCAAATTTGGTGAAATTATATCAGCGGAGCACTGAAAATCAGTGATGACACCAGGTGTTCGCGAAAAGGGTAAGCATGTCCTGCCGTACCGGTAGCACCCATTCATACAATTTGAATAAAAAAGTAAGTTTTTATTGTCTGACTCAGCACAGCACTACTCCTGCCATGCTACGTCAGCCTGTAAACAAACCACACAATCAAGTGATCGATGGACCAGAAAATCCAGACACAAGGGTACCATTACTGATATTGTTAAAACTAATGAAACTAATAAAAAGTCCATGATCGGCTGAAACTCATGGCAATGATGCTGTACGCAGCGCCGTGGATGGTGATACTGCTCACTGGAGTGGTGTTCACATACCGCCGTCGTATGACAGGAGTATTGTTGGGTGCAGCGTTAGGCAACAGTCAATAAAAGTAACGAAACTCATTTCCATGATCAAATGAAATCTCTACCAAAGATCCATTTTACGCTTTAGACATACCCGTGAAGATCCGGGGTAGAATAGGTCTTCAGCAACCCATGCTTGTCGTAAAAGGCGACTAACGGGATCGGGTGGTCAGGCTCGCTGACTTGGTTGATGCATGTCATCGTATCCAAATTTCGTGGATCGATGCTCATGATGTCAATCACTGGATTGTCTTGTCCAGACTCGATTAATTACAGACCGCCGTCATGTAGCTGGAATATTGCTGAGTGAGGCGTTAAACAACAAACCAACCAAACTTACTTCTTTATGGAATGTGTGTGAGCGGTAGGTTCTACCGGTTGAGCAGGACATGCTTTCCCTTTGGTCGAACACTTGGTGTCATCACTGAATATACTTTAATTAGCGTTTTCCTTGCAGACTGACTACACAATACTCCTTGTGGGACCAAGCTTCTTGCGAGGGGTTGACAGGGAAGTGCAGAACACGGACGGACCTTCCATGACTGACACAGAACATCTCGGTGTACGTTTTGGATACATACAGTTGCTAAACAAGAGCTTTCTCAATGGCGTGGACAACTCAAAGATCTTCCCAGTTCTTGTGAAAGGAGCCGACAGGAGCCACCTGCCACCATGGCTGGAGACGGGGGAGTTTTATACCAACAACACGGATAAATATGGTGTCGGGTGTATGGTGAGGAAGATGATAGCTCAGTACAGGGAAGAACGTGCAACCCATAGCTGCTGATGTCAGCTCAGTATAGGGATGATGCTGTTGATGTCAGCTCAGTATAGGGATGATGCTGTTGATGTCAGCTCAGTATAGGGATGGTAGTGTTGATGTCAGCTCAGTATAGGGATGATTTTGTTGATGTCAGCTCAGTATAGGGATGATGCTGTTGATGTCAGCTCAGTATAGGGATGATGCTGTTGATGTCAGCTCAGTATAGGGATGATGCTGTTGATGTCAGCTCAGTATAGGGATGGAAGTGTTGATGTCAGCTCAGTATAGGGATGGTGGTGTTGATGTCAGCTCAGTATAGGGATGATGCTGTTGATGTCAGCTCAGTATAGGGATGATGCTGTTGCATGTGTCACAGCTGGAGACAGCACATTGTTGTCGAACTTATATTGAAACCTTTCCAAGCTTGTATTACCACCATTTCCGATCACGTTTTGATTGTTTTGTATTTTTTGTAAAAGGAGTGATTTTATTTTGTATCAAATGGCGTTGTGAAGCATTATTTACGATGACTGTTTTTAATTTGAAAATCAAGATAATGTTTGATACCATTCATGTACCATGGTAATATTTATATCTACACTTTTTAGCATCAGTGGCCTTCATACGAAGCAAAACTCCAATACTGAAATAAAGAATCTTGAATCTTGAATCTTGAAAACTTGACTTGATATAACAGACAGACAGTTTATTCAGTAAGAAGGCCATAGGCCCATAATACAGACACTGGTTGATTGCATGAACTAGCTTGTCAAGGAAGTAGTCGATTTAAGTTTCTCTTAGCCGTTGGACTTTATATAGATATAAACATGTGTTATATACAACATCAAAGTTGTAGCGACCTAAACGCCGATAAGTATTATAACAGACATTGAATTGACAGTCCGTGTTGCTCCTGTGGATATCAGAGTGAAAACGCCCTACATTATTTTTTTACTTGCTGTAACTTTACTCAGATAAGACTTAATATGCACTTTTACACTACCGGTTATAACCTGGATACTATTATGAACGGAAACAATGTACTTGCTCACTCTGAAAACCAGAAATTAGTTGAATCCGTCCACGATTTCATCATCAAGACAACACGTTTCAGCTCTTCACAAATTAATAATTAAATTAACCGGACAATAACCTCATGATTGACTATTACTTTTGTTACAAACGACTTGTTAGACACACACAAGCTGTAACTTTCTATTTATGTTCACTTTGTATTTGTATTTGATTTAATATGTACAAACATATTATTTAAACAATGTCTATATCGATGACGTCACATCCTTCATTTCAATATGTCACATATGTTGTATAGGAGCGGTGTTAACATAAGCTGTAAAGCTTGTTCACCAATATCCAACTCATTTCAATGAATAAAAATATGTTTAAACCACAACATCAAAGTTTTCTGATGAAATAATTTCAGTAAAAGATGTTACAGTTTGAAACTTGATATACTGTTTAAGATACATATTTCTTAGGGCTGAATAACGCTCACATACAAGTATCATGAAATTCATCTTCAATATAAGATATACTATTTTCTATACAATATTTACATCGTTCAGTGTATGGGACATTTGTGTATCTCCCCAAGTCAGTTGCAAGTTTAAACTTGCTACATCTGAAACGAGTCATACATATTCTCAGATGTACTGGTATGGGGAGTGTAAGATATTTTTCTACATTTAACAGGGATTTAAAATGTTTATAATAAAAGGTATCAGATATGCCATTGATAGAACTACACCATGATTGTTGAAGGTTATCAAATAATCTTTGCTTAAAAAGATGAATAAATACCTTCACATTGCCAACATCTTGTGTTAACCGTACATATCCAAAACCTAATTTAAACAAAATATTCTTAATGTGAGTAGCCCATGTTGTGCGACCAGAATGGTCCAGTGATTTGAGCATTAAATAACATTGGCGAGGCAGTCTGCGCTCGTCCAAACGCAGTAGCCTGCACCAATACTTGATGGCCCTTGTGGTATACACAAGTTGGAGAGGGACTCTTCCGCACTCTCCTAAAACCATTGCATTGTTTGTTGTTTTACCTGTATTTAGAAACCATTTACACATTTTGTTTTGTACATCTTCAATAATTTTACAATATGAGATGCCCCATATTTCTGCGCCGTGACAGACAATAGGCACAATCATAGCATCAAATATCTTAAATAAATCTTGACAGGGTATATTACCAACTTTCTTTTGATATCTTTATAATGTCATAATGGCCTTGTTACTCTGTGCAGCAAGAGTATTGAATGCCTTAGTCCAAACAAGTTTGGGCGTGAATACAATACCCAAATATCTATAAACGACACGGTTTCAATATATACACTATTAAATGTCCATTTTTCATAATGTCTAAGGGGTCCGCCATTTCTGAATACCATAACTTTAGTTTTCTTCAAGTTTACCTTCATGCCTGTGGTATTGCAAAAATGTTCCAAGGCATTGATCTTCTTTTGTAAATTTAAAGGTGTATCAGCAATAGATGACACGTCATCAGCAAACATAAGTGCATATATTGCTGGGCAGTCTTTAGTAATAAAGACAGTTTGTCCTCCATAATTTTCCATAAAATTTACAAGTTAATTTATGAATATTAAAAACATCTGAGGGCTGAGGATGCATCCTTGACGGGTACCTATATTACACTTAAAGTATTTGGATAACCCAGTAGGTGTTCCAACACAGGCACACAGTTTATCGTACATTGATGTGATAATAGACAAAAACTTTCCGCAGACACCAATATCAGCCAAACTCTGTAACAACATATTGTGATCAACATTATCAAAAGCTTTTGAGAAATCTACAAATAAGCAGTAGAACCTTCCTTTCTTTTTACATCGATACTTTTGGATAATTGCCTGTAGTGAAAATATATGATCTGTCGTGGAATAGTTGGGTCTAAATCCAGCTTGAGATTCGTCAATGATATTGTTATCATCACACAACCTCTGTAGTCTAGCATTAAGAATAGATGTAAATACTTTGCATATGGTATCAATGAGTGATATACCTCTATAATTGTTGGCATCATTCATATCACCAGACTTGAACAGAGGACAGATGATACTTTTCCCCCACACATCTGGAAAGTTACCACTCTCAAAGATTTTGTTAAATGTAATAACTAAAATTGGTGTAATTTGTTTTTCTGAAGACTTTAAAAATTCAGCAGCAAACAAGAACTTTCTAAATGGCGTGGACAACTCAAAGATCTTCCCAGTTCTTGTGAAAGGAGCCGACAGGAGCCACCTGCCACCATGGCTGGAGACGGGGGAGTTTTATACCAACAACACGGATAAATATGGTGTCGGGTGTATGGTGAGGAAGATGATAGCTCAGTACAGGGAAGAACGTGCAACCCATAGCTGTTGATGTCAGCTCAGTATAGGGATGATGCTGTTGATGTCAGCTCAGTATAGGGATGATGCTGTTGATGTCAGCTCAGTATAGGGATGGTGGTGTTGATGTCAGCTCAGTAAAGGGATGATGCTGTTGATGTCAGCTCAGTATAGGGATGATGCTGTTGATGTCAGCTCAGTATAGGGATGATGCTGTTGATGTCAGCTCAGTATAGGGATGGTGGTGTTGATGTCAGCTCAGTATAGGGATGATGCTGTTGATGTCATCTCAGTATAGGGATGATGGTGTTGATGTCAGCTCAGTATAGGGATGATGCTGTTGATGTCAGCTCAGTATAGGGATGATGCTGTTGCATGTGTCACAGCTGGAGACAGCACATTGTTGTCGGACTTATATTGAAACCTTTCCAAGCTTGTATTACCACCATTTCCGATCACGTTTTGATTGTTTTGTATTTATTGTAAAAGGAGTGATTTTATTTTGTATCAAATGGCGTTGTGAAGCATTATTTACGATGACTGTTTCTTAATTTGAAAATCAAGATAATGTTTGATACCGTTCATGTACCATGGTAATATTTATATCTACACTTTTTAGCATCAGTGGCCTTCATACGAAGCAAAACTCCAATACTTCTGAAATAAAGAATCTTGAATCTTGAATCTTGAATCTTGAAAACATGACTTGATATAACATGAACCTATGCTTCATTCGACTGTAATTTCGTATCCCCCACGTCTCATCTCTTGCCAACGTTCAGTACTTTCTCAATATCTCAATATCTCAATATCACCTTGCAGGCAATCACGAACACAGTCATGTTAAAGTGAACGCGTTCCTTGAACGGGTATTATATTTATGAAATAATGTTTGAAGCATTATTTTTCTTTTTACTTTTAAAACTTTGTTTATGATACAGCTAAAGAACCACATATGAAATACACTCAAAATATTCCTTTTGTCATTTGGGGGTTGACTTTATCCGATTTTTTTTGAAAACCGGATGGTCTACTGAAGCTGCCCCGGAAAGCATCTCGCAACGCTGTGTGACTACAGATGAAGCTTGGGTTCACCTCTACCAACAACGTTCTGCAAGCACTTGATCCCTGCACGCTCCCCAAGTTTTTTGCAAATGTCACAAACCGTTGCTTATTTCACGGACTTGTGATGGTGAAACAATTTTCTTCGTGGACTCACATTTTTCGTGGATATGCCTCTATGCCATCATGTTTGTTCGTTTGTTTTTTGTTTAACGCCGCACTCAACAATATCCCAGCTATATGACGGCGGTCTGTAAATGATCGAGTCTGGACCAGACAATCCAGTGATTGACATCATGCGCCTCGATCCACGCAATTGGGATACGATGATGTGCATCATCCAAGTCAGCGAGCCTGACCACCCGACCCGTTAGTCGCCTTTTACGACAAGCATGGGTTGCCGAAGACCTAGTCTACCCCGGATCTTCCATTTTGAATTGGCGTGTGTATATTTTTTATTATTTCATGTTATTGTATATTTTACTGTAATATTTCTTTCTTCCCCACTTGGAGTGACTTCAATGAATCATTAGTCGGTCTTCGTCGATGAATAATATCTGACCTCACAGTGCCTCCTCCGTTGCCGCTTGATTGAAGTACAGCCACCTTCTGTTTTGTTTGTTGTTGTACACCGCACTCAGCAATATTCCAGCTATATGACGGCGGTCTGGACCAGACAATCCAGTGATTGACATCAGGAGACGCGATCTACGCAATTGGGATACGATGATATGCATCATGCAAGTCAGCGAGCTTGACTACCCGATCCCGTTATTCTCCTCTTAGGACAAGCAGAGTCGCCTCTTACGGCAAGTATCATAGGCAGTTTGGCAGGGTATATAGGTTTTAACAGGGAGTCTATATGTTTTAACAGGGAGTGTATATACGTTTTATATATTCCCTTAATTAAGTAAGTTGATTATATCTTTTTAAATAAACAGAGTGCTGCCAATACAAATTATAACAGCAGCTGGGGTATTACCATGGCCAGCAGCACAGAGTCATGTGCGGGTCAGCGGGTTGTAGTTAATGCCAGAGAATGGCCGGTTGGCCACTGAAGCTTAACTTTGTGGATGAGGTGCGGGATACTGCAGGCTGTCCATGTATGTAATGTAACACGATACATTGCAGTCTGACAGTGAGGGTTAAAGATAGTACGCTTTCTGTTAGTCGGGACGTGACCCTCGGACAGCGGCTAGGCAGGTTGGCCCTCTTACGCCTCAGA